TCATGGATCTCAGCGGGCGGCGGAGGGGAGACCGGGCCGGCGGAGGCTGCGGCTGCAACGGGCGGGGGAGGGGGCTGATCCCGCGTCTCCCCTCAGCAGACAATACAAGCGCCTCAGAGTGAGTCCCCGAACCTGCCCTAGCCAAAATGGCGGCTGAGAAAGAGCGGAAGTGACGTAGCTCTCATTAGCATAAGAGCACTCATTGTCCAACTAAAGGGGGGGGGAGTGAGGCAGTACCCTTTCCCCACATGTACCCTTGGGACAGCTCTCTTGCTCCCACTTGTGCTCGTACCTAACCTTTAACGAGGGAGGGTGGCACCAGCACCCCACCACCCCGCCTAAGGGAAATTATATAATCCCCACTGAGGGGGAACTCTCGCGAGAACCAAGAGGATTTGCCATTGACCCACTAGGAGGCGCCGCAGATAATGGCCGCAGTGCGCTTCCAGGGCCCTTGTGCGCGGCTGGCGCCTTCCACTGGCCCAAGCGCCTGCGGCGGAGGCACAAGCAAAGGGCCGCAGCACCCCCCTGCACTCCGTCAGGTGGCTGTGCTGGGGATCCCTGCGCGGGCCCAGCTGGGCCTGAACTACATCTGGCGGGAGGGGGCGTGTGGGCAGCCCAGCGCTCCACGTGCCGAGAGGCCTGCGCTCTCACTGGCTGGGCAGCAGCGGGAAGGGCAGGGACACCTGGCCGGTGGTGCCTGACGCCTCCAGCCTTAAATGAGGTGTGAGCGCCTCGTGCTTCACACCGACTTGAGATGAGACACAACCCATGGATGCCGCCTGACCCCTTCCTGGTGGGGCGGGCTATTCAGTGGACAGGGGCTGTGTTTTACACAAGCCAAGGCAGGCTGTTACCCCTGGACTTGATATTCTTCCAAAGCAGTGATGGGCTCCCCTCTTTGGCCTGAAGAAAACAAATGGGATCCCTAGTGCTTTGAGGCCACCGGACTGGTGAAGCCTAAGGATGTTGCCAATGGATCTCAAGATCCTTAAAAACTACACTTCGACTGTAGTTCTAAGGACAGTCACTTAGTGCTCCCACACTCTGATAGCTGTTAAGACAGCACATGGACAGTATGCCTTGGTAAATTTAGGTCAATCCCAACCAGCACATTATCTCAACATTTTTGAACCCACCTTTAACAGTAGAATGCATCTGAGAGTGTATCATTGGCTAAACACACTGAAAAGTAGTAAATGCCAATTGTGAAGTATTAAGCCTGTTTTCTAAAGATGTGCTCTGTAAATACACTTATCTTTTGCTGTTACTCTAAATTTCAAGGTAACAGTTTCAAACCATACTTAGCACCCCAAAAGAATCTTACCTTAATTGAAAATAGTATAAATTATGGTTACATGTAACTCAATGTAACCTTCAGTTAGATTTAAAAAATGTTTCATTCAACACAGTATTCCATTAATTTCTGAAACTGTGATAAAATACATCCTTAAAACCCAAATCAGTATTTCAAAAGAAAACAATAGCTGGAAAAAGTTTTGTAAAAGAAAGGGGGGGGGAGGCACAAAGCCTTTGGTTGAGACAAAAATGACTCAATTACATGTTGCAGAAGACAGGCAAAGCTAATATGAAATAAGCAAAATTTTTATCTTAAGTTTAGCTTTCCTTAGATATACTTAGATTTCATACAGTGGTAATACAAAGGGAGAACATCTGGATTTCATTCTTGGCCTCATTTACAAAGTAAAAAGGGATGCTAGATTCACATGTAAATGATTTTAGTGTTTAAGTCACCACATTTAGTACAAAAATGCATCTAAATACTCTAGATTCTTCTCTAAATAACTTCCAAATGGTGAAAGTCTTCACTGCTCAAATACTTATTTTATTGTAAACTCCAATAAGTGATAGTATTGTAATGATTGTGGGAATAAGAACTGAAAAGATTTAAAAAGCAAAAGGTATCTACGCTAATGGAGGTCTGAGAAGGCAATACTCTTAGTGGGTTCTCTGAGGCAAGTTATTTCATCTCTGCTCCACATACTTAACAATGAAAACTGAACTTTGGGTTTAGATGAAAAAGAACAGATTTCTAAATACTTTTTAAAAAGGATATTATATTTCTATTATGTTAGCTTAAAAGTAATTTTACATCAAACAGTGATGAATTTCCCAGTAATTAATGAGAGAAGTCACTTTCTGAGTAAGGTGGGTCCCTGCTGGGCCACTGCACAGCTCTGTGTAAAAGGGAAATACAGTAATAGTAGAGGCCCTTATTGCAATGCGTTCTATGGATTCAACTATGGGAACAGGCAACGTTCAAAATGACACCACTCTGGTATTCATTTCTGGTAGGATCTGTTAGAAATAGAAATGAAAAAAAATCAGACTTTAAATTTCTTGACTTTAGCAGCTAAATTAAGCCAGGGAAATGCAGTTATTAGGAATACTGTTCACTAACTGTTTATTAAATAACTTAGAGATGCCTCTTCCTTTTACTTGCAAAGGAAAGTCAACTTGATCTTAAGCTTATATGCGCATAGTAGGTCTTACCCAAAATATTAAAAGATACTTCATGATCCAAAGGCTGTGTTACAGTTAAAGATTCATCTTTTTTGAAATACCTACTTTACAGAAGGTAAATGGATTTGCTCTGGCTTTACTGAACAACTTAACCTGCATTTTAACTGCCAGAGCACTTTTCTGAACAGAGAGAAAAGGTATAGGAATTTGTTCTTTATGGTAAAGATGTATGTTTTGTTGAGGGTCCTGAATTAATATGAAAAGGAGTATTTTTTGAAAAATCATTATATAGTTTGTAAGATGTTTAAAAATGACTAGAGCAGCTAAATTTATGCTTTAATATCATCAATGTTTTTCTTTACTGATAGAAGTTATTGCTCAGAAGAGAAAATGCAGCTATGTTATCAACTGTTGTCAAGTTGTTTCCAATTGAAATATACATTTTAAACAGACTTGCTTTGACAGATGTATTGCTTCATCAATTCAACAGCTGCAAAGAACCAAACTAAAACTGTGCTCTAAATGTATTTATCTGATTTGATATACATTTTTAAAGAAAGGACAAAGGTGTGTATTTCTTTTTCAATTCACACAGAAACAGTCATATATATATTTCATGAATATAATTAGCATTCCTCTTCTGACATCTATTAGGTACAAAGAGCTATGAATCCAGTTTTTTTTTAATTATTTTTTTAATCCTCACCTGAGGAAATTTTTTCCACTGATTTTTAGAAAGAGTGGGAGGGAAGAGGAGGGGGGCAGAGAAACATCAATGTTAGAGACCTTGATTGGTTGCCTCCCACACTCGCCTGGACCCGGTTGGGGATCAAACCTGCAACCCAGGTACGTGCCCTTAACCAGGAATCACACCCGAGACCCTTTGGTCCACAGGCTGACCTTCTAACCACTGAGCCAAACCAACCAGGACTGAATCCAGTTTTTATAGAGAATACTGAAAATCTTCCCCCGGTAAGAAATTCTGCACTCACATACTCTAATGAAAGTAGCAATATTTTATGCAAAAACCCCATAAGCATTTATTTATAGGTCTTACTTAATACAGCAAAATGTTAAAATTGAGAACACTGCTCATTTTTCTAATTTAATTTGACATATAAAATGGAATTTCTTCAGAAAAAAAGATTTGCATGAAATTTACCTTACCTATGATTTATGCTCTAAGAGTACATTTTATAAAAATCAGCAACCAGACTTCCTTTATATTTAAGTTGAAATGAACATGATAAATATAAATGAGTAACTTTCTTTTATGTAGTAGCAAAAAGAGTCAATAATCCTTTCAAGAAAGAGACTATTTCATTTCCTCCCAACTTGGATTCACCGTAAACACGATCCACAAATGTTATTGGAACCTAGTTAAAAAAATATACGTTAAGTCAGTCTTCAAAAATAGTAGGAACGTAGCAGGCATACAGAAATTACTAACACAACAGAAACAGGATTAGTTCTATGATAGCAATTCCTTTAAATTGAAGCAACTCCTTCAATTCTTACAGAAACTGTGTGCACCTCCAAGTCTTTAAAATTAAACAGGCACTTCATTATCTAAAAATAGGTGATATAAACCAAATCAACAACTGTTTGAAAAACACTGATCCTGCATATTAAGTTGATTTACTCAAGTTTCAGACTGCACTGCAAGGAAAAATTATACTCCAAAAGTAAAATGGCTTTTCACTTAATTTTTTCATTATTCTGTCAATTTAGCTGTCAGTATGTTTTAGTATTGTTAAGTCTTATAATTTCCACAAGAGAAGTGGCATTCTAGTTAGCTACTTCTTGCTCTGAGTCTTAAACAAGGAGAGTCTTCCCTAAGAGTTCACAAGCTAGCTGTAGATAGTACAGACCTCCCCCCGCCCCAATTCCTGTGCTTTTCATTTACTCATAGGAAATGGGCAGTGGGACTCTTCATTCATTTTAAAGTTGGGTGGCTGTTGACTATGGCAAGAGGAAAAGCAGCAAATAGACTCCTCCCAGAATGCTGCGTGGTCAGAAAGGGCAAGGATGGAGAAGATACCAGTAACTTTTAACTATTTAAAAGGGAATGCTGCCTTCTGTCAATGTTTTAATTTTGGTAGGTCAAATGTGTTGATGTGAAAGGAATGTGAATTTTCACCTGTTAGTGCATGGGCATTCTCAACAGCTTGAAGCCTTTCACATTTATTTGGTAGTTATGAAAATTAAACTTTTTACAATAAAAAGTCTAAACCTTATAATTTCTTTATGAGGAATACAACATACTATTTACCAGCAATTGCATACCTCGCCAATAGTATAATTCAACTGTCTTGCCCGAACAATCATTTCCATCTGGAAGACGTAGCCTTTAGAAACACATTTTTCTATTAATTTCTGTAGAACTTCTTTTCGATATAACCTGTAAATCAAAATATATATAAACACTTGGACAAATACACGTGCCTACATGCATCCTGACCTTTTAAAAAGTTCACTGGTATTTTTAAGACCTAAAACTTTCACTAGCCATTTGTATATCGAAAAGTTCTCATGGTTGATATACATTTGTCCTGAACCAGAAGGGTCATGAAATATTTTGTAAATAATTTAGAAAATGAATTCTTAGTAACTTTTAGAGAATTATTTTCCTACCATACTATCAGAAATTATAAAACTATAGTAAAGTGAATCATTCGAAGCAGAACAACCTATTGTTTTTAACTTTTTATATCTTCCTAAAATTAATTTTTAAAGTTGAAAGAGTAAACAGTTCCAAATATTGGAACATTAAGAGTTGATAGATGATGAAGCAACAATATAAACTAGATGACAAGAAAGAACCTAGTAATTAATAGGTGTTTCCTCATAAATGTTTATGACGAGCTTCTACTTCTGGAGATCTAAAAAAATTCCCTGGGATACACTATCCCCTCCAGGATGAGCTTGGTTAAGCTAGGTTAAGACAGCAACTGGGCATCACAGGATTAAGGCAATCCTGGTGGGACACAGCTATCACCAACTGATGTCACAGTTAGGTACTTATAATGGGTGAATGAATGTGCAGCCTAACTGTAGATGGGCTGTAGGCCAGACGCAGAGTTCATCAGATTTACGAAGTAAGGCAGGCGCTGGGAAGTCCTGTGAGTGAACCCACTCGCTTTTGAGGAGCTCCCTGTTTTCAGTCTCTTGATAAACAAATAATTTCTCTCTCTGGAGCATGTTAGAAGAGGCAGTTAGGCATAACTCTGTTCTCCCAGTTAAAGGCCACCTGGATTCACAATGCCCAGGGCTTTACCTGGAACCCACATTCACTTTTCCTCAGGCCCTCTAAGGAATCAACCCTACGTTTTGGCTTTTCAAGCTTTTAAGTGGACATTAGATGACAACACAGTCCTCAGAGGAACCTGAGGACTAGTGTGTATACTCTTTTACCCACATAGGTTCCATAAGAATTCAAAAAGGGGTAAGTCTGGAATAAATCTAAAGTGAGGAGAATCAGATGGTAGTAATATTTATTCAGTAAGTATTTACTAAGCAACCTACTATGTTTAAGGCACTTTTTTATATTTTGGGGTTTTAGCAGTAGAAACTAAAGATATATAGCAAATAAAGTTAAGCAGGGGAAGGAGGATAGGGATTATATGGGAAGGACCGATTATGATGGGATGTTTCAGCATTACCTTTTAAACTGGGTTTTGGCTATGAATTCTGTCCCTTTAAGAGTCATTTTACTCCTCATAAGAGTTATTTTGTAAGACATCTATTGCTCTTTATTGCCATCCCTTCTTCCCCATCACAGTATCTTTAAAACTATGGCCAATGCTGTGATACTGCATACACGAAGCCATGGGCCAATAAATAGGATAATCAGGACCCAAGTAGTCTTTGCCATTAAATGGCTTCAGTCTTTTTGGGTTTCCTTTTATTTGGTAAAAGGCACACATGCCTAGGCCTAAATACTAGGAACTTTATCTAACGAGTTGAACTTTAACAAAGCATGCATTTAATAAATCACTACTCTTATGAAGAGACAATGAGCTTTAACAATTTAAAAGTAGTGAAATCAACAGGCTCACTTTTGTGTCTATGGTTGCTCTGATTTACACAGAATACACCCAATCACTGCTCTCTCTAAAAGACATCCAGAGCCTACCTCCCCCCCCAATATGGTTCTGGTGGCAATTAAGTGCCGCCACCCAATACTCTCTCTGCGGAGTTTTCCTCCATAGCAGGGTCCCCATGTGACACTGCACCTATTTTATGTAGTTGTAAGTCTCATGTCATTACAATGTATAAACTCCATGAGGACAGGGACTTTGACTCTTGTCCAATGCTTGGCACACAATAAATGTTTGCTCAACCTAAAATGAGTCACTGTTTAGCTTTTTTGAAAGCACCTGCAGAGCTTTCAACAGGGGAATTAGGCCAAAAAACAAAACCCCTACCTATCTCCTCCACAATTCATGGAGCCACCCTGAGTCTTCAATCAAAGTCATCATGCCTATGGCCTGTGATGTCCACACTGGACATTCTGTCTGCACAGAGATTTTGCAAGTGCCACTATTCTTTGCATTGTTGCTACATGGCAACCCGTGATCTTAATCAGATAACGCATTATTCTTTTGCCTTGAAGTGTGGAACAAAAGGGATATTTACTGTCTTTTACACACCAAATCCTGCTTTCTAATTAATTTACATTTTAATTCTAGAGAGGCTTCATTTTCATTATTTGATCTTTAATTTGTGATGGCTCCTCTCTTCATTTTTTGAGGGGAGGTAGGGGGTAAGGAGGGGACAGCCCTTGGCTTGTAAGTACTTCTTATTTTACCAAATAAGGACATTAAAATTTTTTCTCTTCACTTTTGACCTTCTTAGTATCTCTAAACTGCTATTCAAGACTTGTAGTTATACTACAAGTACTAGTAACCTTCAACAGTCAGCTCCTAATTTGTATGTGTGAATTCTAACCAAGGCTCAAAAATCAACATTATTTAATGGAAAAAGTAAATATTAACTAATATAAATTATTAACTAATGCATGGGGTTTGGGCCTTAAAGCAAACGAACAGGCATTTTATACTTTCAGAGATAAAAAAAAATCTGGCAGGCTTTAATCATTTGGCATGGTCATATAAAACAGTTCATCTACTGTAGCAAGTCTAAAATTAAATACATACCCCCCCCCAAGCAAAAGCAAAATAAAAAACCCCAGGGACCTAGCAGGAGGCTTTGCACCAATTAAATAAGAATTTTTTATAAAAAACATATGGAGAACAAGGTAACTGAAAGGCTCTACATAAATATTAAAGGTTTTAAACTTTTCTGTGGACAATGCTATAAATATTCATATAAACTGCTGAAAATTCCTGGAAAAGGTGCTATTCTCTGGAGCACATTAACAGTGACAACAATGTTCAGAATGAGCAGTGAGTAGTCACCTTGGCTCCCAAGGGTCCGGCTTGGGGATGAACAGTAATACTAATGTTAACAAGCACCCTAACCAGAGCTCTGACTTCCATGCTCTTTAAAAAGCACAATATTTTTCAAGATGCTTAGACTTCATTAGCAGCTTCTAAGGAATTTCAGCCTGCCTTTTTAGTGTCCCAGGACAAAAACAGAGTAGAAATGAAAAGTATTTCTTTAAAATAAGCCATTATAAAGCAAGAAATTTAGGCAAGCAGTTATAAACAGTAGAAATATAAGATTACTGGTTTTCACCCTACCTGAAACTTCCTGTTAAATCAGATGCTCCTGGTCTCAGCAAAATCTGAGTTATAAAATTGGCCCCACGGCTGTTAAACAAACAGATTTTCTTTATAAAATAGTTTCTAAACAAGAGAAACACATCCAAGAGCAGAGCACTAAAAATGCTACACTAATTTCATAAATAAATGCAACACTATTTCACAAAAATATTGATTCTATAGAACAAATTTTTAGTGAAAGGAGATCTGATGTTTCTCATTTTTCAGAAAATAGGGACATTTAGAGAGAACCTATAAAGCAATCATTCTTTCAGACTTTATGTATGAATGATAACAGATTTTTAACTTGTATATTTGCCAACAGCCATTATTTAGAATTCCAAACATCTGTCAGCTAGCAAGAGATCAGGGACCTGGAGTTTCCTTTTCAGATTCTAATGATTCTAATAAGCACAAAGGGATAGTGGTTTCAACTATGTAATAGGTCAGTCAGCATAAAAATGGTTTTGTTTATTTTTGAAGGTGAGGAAGTAGAAGAGGGTTTTGGTTTTTGGCAATCTCTGGAAATTGACCAAGGTTCATTCTGAGACTGTCTTAGTCCTGCTTGGGCTGCTGTAACAAAATACCAGACTAGGTGGCTTAACAATAGATATTTACTTCTCGCATTACTGGAGGCTGGGAAGTCCAAGAAAGTGAAACCTCTTCCTGGCTTACAGATGGCTGCCTTCTTGCAGCAGTTCACACGTGGAAGGGGGTGGGGGAAGAGGAGACCCAGGCTCTCATTTCTTCTTCAAAGGGCACTAATCCTACCCGAATGCCCCACACTCAGGATCCCATTCACACCTAATTAACCCCCCCCCCC